TTGTACAGGCTCTGGAGAGGTTTTGCTATGTATTGTGAGATGCAGTGTAATAGGTGACTTGGGATGGTGTCCTTCCCTGGCGCCTTATTTCTGGGCATGCGTCTGATCGCTCCGGTGATTTCATCTAGGGTGATCGGCGGGAAGTGTAACAGTTCTGGGTAGACTTGGTCCTTGGTATCTTCTAGGTCAACCTCCGGAGGAGGTGGAAAGAAGGCTTGTTTGAACAGTTCGAGCTTCTTGGTTGCATCCGTTTCCATTTGCCCATCCGGTCGTTGGAGTGGTGGTATGCATGCTGATCGTGGCTCTCTGTTCCGAGCCCACCTTGCTATCTTCCAGAGACCCTCCGTGGAGCTTGTCGCATCTTTGATCTTCCTTCTATGGTAGTCCCACAGGGTCCTTCTAATAAGTCTTGCTTTGTGGTTCCGTGCCTGACGGTATGCTTCCCAGGCTTCAGGTGTTCTTTTGCTCTGATATTTCCGTCTCAAGCATCGCGCGTGTTGCTGGGCCTCTTTACATTCTTTTGTCCATCCTGGTACCGAACGTGGGCTAGGCCGTGACTTTTTTGTTGACTCTTTGACAGAATTTAGAATAGCCGCTACTATTGCTTGTGTGGCCTGGTCGATAATAGAACCTGATGAAAGTCGAGGTGGATTAATAGTTGGTCCGATTACCGAGGCCGACAGATCCCTCATATACGGACACACACACTCGTTTAGATAGCCAAGCACTCATTCTACCATCTATGGTGTCTATAGGTATCAATGTTACCCTCCGTGTAATCTAAATTTCCTCTTCATATATAGCCTCGTGCAGCCCGGATAATCGACTCCCCGACTTCCCCGACTCGGAGTTAACCGCCTTATTGGTTTATCCGTTTCAGAACTCACTTTGAGTCATGTGACCAATTATCCGCGTCCCTGTTCAAAAACCGAGAATAATCCTCACATAAAACAAACAACTCAATCGCCAGCACGATGCCGTTATTGAACTTGCCAAATGAGCTTCTGTGGCTCATTAGCTCCTTTTTGGAGCGCGAAAGCGATCTGAATTTCCTTAGGCAAACCGACACCTACACCAACTGTTCAACCGCGCTGTCTATGATCTAGATGTTAAGAATCCTTGGAGTTGCGCTTTAGAATAAGCCGTGCGAAATGGCTGTGAGGCGATTGCGCAAAAAGCAATCGATGCGGGCGCCTCAGTAGATAGCGAGAAATACTATGAAAGTCAACCGATAATGTTGGCTGTCGAAAATGACGATGAGGCTTTCGTGCGTCTGCTCCTTGAGAAGGGCGCGGATCCCAATAAAGACTCATATTGGGATTGGGGGCTTAGCCCTCTTACCGAGACATCGAGGCTTGGGCATGAATCTATTGTCCGACTTTTGCTGGAACATGGAGCTTCCTCATACCGTCCTGATAGTGCTCCCATGACCTTTCCTGCATTGCAGGTCTACAACATGCCATTGCCGAGCGCAGCAGAACAGGGGTACCTTGAGATTGTCAAACTTCTCACAGGAGCCGATCATGAAAAGCGATTTCGAGATCTTATTGGTCCAATTGCATTGACCCAAGCTGCTTTTGGTGGGCATTTGACCATTGTGCAACATCTATTCGAGGAGGGAGTTGATCCGAATCTGCACGAGTGGCAAGGCGAGAATGACCCCATTTCTTGGGCTTTTCAACAGGGTTAGTTGGAGATGGTTAAGTTTCTACTTGACAAAAAGTCTGAGATTTTGCCAAGAGAGCAAGACAATCTCCTATATCCAATGACCTTGGCTGCTAGCAGAGGCCATTATGTGGTAGCCGAACTCCTTGTATCAACATACGTTGGTATAATAACTCATCTGGAAGTATCGAAGAACGGGGAACGCTATTAGCAATGACTGTCCTCCAGATACATTATCATTATGATATAATCAAATGAACTGGAATGCCAATTTGACACTACTGGCGAGGGCTGTTGAAAACAATGACTATTCAACAACCAAGATATGCTTCGCCATGGCGCAAACCCGAATGGACAAGGATATTCTGGACTGCATGGGAGTCCACTTTTCCCGGCAATAACAAATGGCTACCCGGATATCGTGCAATGCTTCCTCGACCATGAGGCGTATCTGAGCTGCCCGGAGAACCATACATGCGATTATGAAGCGAAAGTTCTGTTTGGAGCAATTCCATTCAAGACCATCTTCCCGCTCCTGCTTGACCTAGGCGCAAATCCTGAGGCGATAACCGAAGATCATGAGTACCCCCTTGCACAGGCACTCGAGTCTGGCCACATTGCTAGGGACCAATTGCTGCTAGACAGGGGGTCCAGTTACAAACACCTCCCGGGCTGGAGTATGCCCCAAGCGTGCTGGCTTGTGCAGTGCTTGGAGGGCAGGCTATGGTGAAATTCGTTATAGCCCAAGGATTTGTTTCCCTAGCCGAGGAAACAGAACGCGCAATATATGTAACTGCCCAACATGGCAGTCCGGCTCTATTGAAATTGTTTCTGGACCAAGCGGCAGACCAAGGCTGGTATCCAAACGCAAGTGTCCTGTTGGAGACCGCATTAAGGCACAAACTAGATGATGGAAAGACCATGATTGATTTATTACTCGATCGCGGTGTTGACATTGATACACGGGATCGAGATAGTACGACTCTCTTATTCAAGGCTGCCGAGCTTTGCCATTGTGGATTGATTTCCTACTTACTGGAACAGGGCGCGGATCCTATATCAAGAAACGGCTCTGGAGGTGTTTGTCCATTGGTAGCTTCCGCGGCCAACATGACAGCCAGTTCACTACCGACAACAACATATCTGCTGGGATTTATTGAGGAGCGGGGTATTCCGTTGCAGGACTGGGAAGACCAGTTGAAGGTGATAGAGGAGGCGACATATGAACCCTGGAAGGATCAAGTTACACGGCTCCTACGCCGTTTGTACTGGAGAAATTTATATCCTTTTCCGTCAGCAAATGGGTTAAAAAGAAGACGGAACAGCAGCAGCGTCAGTGGCAGAGGAGTGAGGGGACAGTAAGATGCGTGAGATGCCCTTAGGTCACTAAATCCAGCGATTCGACTTAATATATATACAGTCAGTATGATGAAGTCTGAGACACCCATTTGGGAGTGACCTGCTGAGCGAGTTAGTGGATACTTACTCCAGCCTGGAGGCTATAAAGGCCAAGATTGATCTATTGCTTGCTTACGATATTGACATCGAGGCACGGAGTAGGTGGAGTGGTCCCTGTCTAAACCCCTAGCATGAAAGGGAGCCATTATATGGTTTCTTTCTTACTTGAGCGTGGCGCGAATCCTCTTTCAGAGCATGATATACTCCGCATTATGAGTCCATTGTCTCTTGTTGTTGAGGCAATTTTACAAAAACAAAATATCTGCTGGGAGCTATTAAAAACGGATATTCCTTTGCAAAACTGGCGATATCAGGCAGAACAGGAGACGGTAAAAAAGCGCGAGCCTAAAGCCAAACAGCTTCTAGAGTATTACTACTGGAGAGGGAGTTACCCTCTTCCCAACTTGAGGGTAAAAGGGGTGAAAGATGTCGAAACAGCCGTGGATACGTGGCAAGAACCTCGAGATATAATCTTCGGGCAAGGAAATTGGTGAATTGACGGCTGGTTGTCTGAACGTGTCTGGGCAATTCCAACCTGTGTGACCTGTGACATATACTCCTTTGTATTTATTCAATAGCAACTCTACGCTATGTATATATATTAATCCCACGGCTCGAAACACTGACCGGTATCGACAATAACACCCCCCATCCTCACTGAGCGGCAACTTCCCTCCTCTAATATTAACCTGTAACACCTGATGCGAAGCCTGGGGCTCATGCAACCCCGAATCCCTTTCTTGCCGGCATCGCACAAAGTCCTCCTTGGGCGTATTGCCCTTAACATGCTTGTTACCTTCTCTTTACTCCCTGACAGTCACATATGGCATTGAATCTCGACTCCGGTCATTACAAGAGGACGATGAGGGGTTTTCATGTTTGGTGTACAGTTTGTACTTGTCAGGTAACGAGAGAAGCTTCTGCATAAAACCGTATAAAGCATGCGCATCGCCATCGGGGAAATCGCAGCGTGCGCTGCCCACGTCGGAATTGAATATCGAGTCTCCGGTGAAGACGTTACTGCCAATTATGTATCCGCTATGGTCGGGTGTATGTCCGGGTAGATGAAGAGTTTGTCCTGTTATGTCTCCGATTTGAAATGTATCATCGTCTTGGAAGAGGTGGTCGAAAGCATTATCGAGTTCTTCTTTCGGAGCCCCATATCATCGCGTAAAGGTACCCTGAACCTGTCGGATGCGATGTTCCGTGCATACTGATACGTATGCTTAACTTTATTTTGTTTTGTTTTTTTGTCTCGAGTTTCTGTTGGATATAGTATGCTGCGGTGAGGTGGTCTGCGTGTGCGTGTGTTTCGAGGCAAGTAGTTGTGTAATCATACGAGGTGGCGAAGTCCAACAATGCATCGGCTGAAGTAGTGCCAATGCTCATCTGAGTCTGATCATAATCCAGGACAGGGTTGATGATAGCGGGCTGGAAGGTTCGCGGACATGCTACTATGTATTGCCATGTCGACGTTTGTTGTTCGAAAGCCGGGTGAATTATCGGTTCCATTATCGTTATCTATCGATAGATGCGAAAATAGTCGAGTTGTATATTGTTTGAAGAATGCAGGAAATGCCAGTCCGAACATTCCGGTCGGGTATTTATAGAATGCGACCGGGTCCCGGGATTCATTGCATAGGGATGTGATATCAGGTCGGGGACTAATTATACTTCATAATTAACCTATGCTTATTTTGGGATTTCAATTCGGGTTGGTGGTCGACCCCGATTCCCTAGTATTAATCGCCAAAAATACCATGGTACCAGGGCCGTGACATCTCCTGGGCGATGGAATGTATTCGCCGTCCATATTTGTTTTGGTTGCATACCACAGGACTGCCGAGCCCTAATCGGTGATTAAGATAATGCATGCTGCATGGCTGGGACAACAATTAAACACTCCCTGCATTCGGCCAATTGTTTTTATATAACAATGGCTCGAGACTCAATCGAAGTAATTAATTAATTAATATCTGAGACAATGAAGTATTAAAGTGAAGATTATCCTCTTTGGAAAGGTTTCGTCTCAGGAATTCTCAGGAATGTGATTCATGATCAGACGCGATTCTGCTGAAAAATATCCATGGATTCGAATACACATCGCCGGGATGATGAAGCATTTAGCAGACAGAGAAGTAAGCACGACAGCGGATGGCGCAATCTTATTCGGAATTTTACTCCTGGGTTAGTCGTTCACCACGTGTGTTCTTGGCTTCAATGCGCTGATGGGTCGACAGGTGGTTTTCGGTTAATATGGGCACAGGAATCGTCTCGATTTTGCTCAACACCCTTCCCTATAATGGAGAGTGGCTCTATTGGATTTCCGTAGTAGTCTTTGCACTCAATGTGTTGACTTTCGCGATATTCCTCTTTCTATCGATCCTGAGATATGCGTTCTACCCAGAGATCTTCCCGGTTATGGTCACCCATCCAACTCAGTCACTGACCCTGGGTGCATTCCCCATGGGTCTGGCAACTATTATAAATATGATTTGCTTTGTCTGTGTCCCATCTTGGGGGCCATGGGCGAGTTATCTTGCCTGGGGCTTGTGGATAGCGAACGTTGTCTTTTCCATTGCAACGTGTTTTGCACTATTGTTTATCATGTACGTTCTGGTATTGGTATCATAGCAGGTGTGACACATGCTAATACAAACAGGACGACGAGTGAAGGTGAGGTTCTTTTGTCGTCCGCAAGTGCAACATGGCTGCTTCCGATCGTCTCGTGTGTTGTCACATCGGCATCCGGCTCGGTTGTAGCTGAGGTGCTCCCAAATCCGCAATATGCTCTTGGGACCATTATCGCAAGTTATGTGGTATGGGGAATTGGCGTTCCGATGGCATTGATGATGACGGTGATTTATTTGTTGCGGTTAATGCTGTATAAGCTGCCGCCCAAAGCAGCTATTGCCAGCACATTCTTGCCAATAGGGCCTTTAGGGCAGGGAGGATATGGGTTAGTGCATCCGTTAATATGATATAAGACACCCCTAACAAGTTGCAGGATCCAGAAACTCGGACAAGCGGCAAAGATGGTCTTCCCCCAAACCGGGACACTGCAGCCAGGAACAGGCGACGTTCTATATGATGTTGGATTTCTTGTTGGGCTGATATTCTGGGGCCTCGGGCTCGTATGGCTTTTCTTCGCAGTAGCAACTGTCCTTCGGGTGCGCAGATTCTCATTCAACCTGGGTTGGTGGTCATTTGTTTTCCCTCTCGGGGTTTATGCGACCTGTACAAATCAGCTGGGTCGTGATATGCCTTCACGGTTTTTCAGGGTTCTTGGAACAGTACGTCCATGCACTCGACTGTCTATTGGTCCGCTGACTGGAAATAGATTCTCTCTCTAAGCGTCATTATATCGTGGATGGTGGTGTCATATTTCACTGCCAGAGGTATCTACAAACAGAACTTAATTGTGGCTCCGTGTTTGACAGCTCTGCATGAGAAGCAGCAAAGGAAGCTAGAGCAGCATCGTGAAAGGCATAGCTATCCTTGAGTGTACAACAATAATGTACATTAATGTCAAGTGTAGACACGTGACTTATACCAAGCCTGTAAGCTGAGCGGACTCCATAAGTTAACTAGTGACGTTGGATTAGACCTGTCGAATGCCCAGAACACACGAAAAAAAAAAAAAGCAAGATTGCACAGAACTCCTTGAGAAATCAAAGCATTGTATCTATCATACTCCTATTTCACCTTATACTCTGTCCTCGTGCATTGCATTTTGCGTGCTTTTGATAGATCTCCGGCGGATCGACCGCTCTTTGTTATCGTTATTTCTAGAGTCCAGACCCCCCGCATCTCCATACACACAAAGTCATGGTATCAGCACTATTTCCGGAATCACGATATAATACAGAGTGAATGGAGAAGTAAGCTATAATCCGCAAAAGAGAAAGAATGTAATGGTATATATGTTTAGCATAGAATCCCATCGAAGCTGTTGGCGCCCAATCTCTCAGGCATCAACTAATTCCCCCGGCTTCAGTCGCGACGATTCGATTCATCGCTTCACCATTTGTCGGTCTGCCAGCGTCTTTTTTTCTGCCATTTTCTTTTTCTTGTCTCGTTATTTTCTTTTCTTTTGCTCCCTTTGTTCTCCCGAGACCCAAGTACCCCCCACAGTCCGACTCTGCATCTCTGATCAGAGATGCAATGTGATCGTTCCTGGCCCGCAACCTGTCCCTTTGGCGTCTGTACTTCACCCCTCCTGGACCACCCTCCATTGTCTTGCTGAAACTCGACCCTCTTCTCCTTTTTCTTAGCGGTTGATTCGCCAAATATAATGAGCTCTTAGCTCTGACTGTCATCCATTCTCCTATCAACTTACTGCCTGCGCCCCCGGATCAAGACCACTCCATCACCGCCTGGTGTCTCCTCCCCCTCATTCCCTTGCTGCTGCTGGCTGTATCAGTACTCGTCAGCCTCACTCCCCGCTTCCCCCTAAGATTCGTCCAAAATTCGTCAATTATCCCTCGAACATTCCTTTTATACCGCTCAGCATGGTGGCAGAAGACGTCCTTGATAGCTGCCTGCGTCTCCTTCAGGATGTCTCTCTCGATGAAGAGGAGCAGGCGGAGAAGGTGGAGGATTTTCTGCGCGAAAAGACATCTTTGACAGGCTCCTCTATGGAGAATGCGGTGCTTGACATCCTCTGGCGCCATCGAAATCGTTCCGTGCCGGATTCCTCTCCTCCTTCGCGACACACCATCATCCGCCGATCGTCGCCTGCACCATGGCAGATGGCTCGTTCGTCCACTCCCCTGTCACCGGCATCCAACCTGGGAACAAGCCCCGGCAGTACATCCTGGCTACACAGTTCCCGTGGGAACTTTTCCCGGGCCCCTCTCTCCGCGACCGTCTCGCCGTTCTCCTCCCCGCGTCCGTCCCCCAGACTTGCCCTGGCTCAGCCGATCCCCCATTCCCCGAACTTGAACGCATACGAATTTTCCGATCAAACCCAAGCGTCGGATTACTTCTACGATCTTGGCAGTGACAGCAATGTGGATTGGCTGGTGGCCGATGATGCAAACAGTACTACTTCCTCCATTGGGACTCTCAGTGCCACAGCTCCCGAATTTGTACCCGACATGAGCCCTCACGATATTCTCCGGACGGTGCTTGGCGACAAGAGATCTAACGACGACATCGAAACGGCCTTGGAAGCAAATAGTTATGACCTGGGTGCGACGATTGCCTCGCTGACCCAGAATGACGGAGAATCATTTTCGAATCAATCAGACGATGGTCGTATTGTGGTGGGGAAATCTATGGCGATGGAACAGCCCCAGTTAGTCACCTCTACGTCGCAGAACCGAAGTCCTGTAGTCTGCAAATACTGGCTGTCGACCGGGCAATGTCTTCGTGCTGATTGCCGGTTTAGTCATGATTTAACCTCCCACGTTTGCAAGTGAGTTACAATCTTCCTGTGGAAATGCAAAAAGAGAAGAGAGAGAGAGCAGCTTTTGTCTAATACAGTGAATCCTTCAGATACTGGGTAATGGGCAATTGCCTAGCCGGGGATGGATGTCCATTTTCGCATGACCCTTCAGCTCTCATTTCTAACATCAGTGTGCAAGACGAGAACCAACAATTCAACGCTAGCTCATCATTTCCCGTTGACAGTGCTGTAGACGCTTTTCCTCCTTTACAGTCATCTGCGGGAATGGGTGACCCATGGGCAAATCAATACACGGGCAAATATCCAGCTCATCTTTCGGGAATGGCAGGCAGTAGAGCTGGTTCACACCTACAAGTCCATGGTGGCAGGCGTAATGGAAGCATGGGCAATGTTTCTCGCCCTCACTCGCGCCCAACCAGTCGACAACAACATCGCGAGCTGAATCCGGGTGCTCCGTCAGTTGATGATCCCGATGCATTTCCGACTCTTGGTGCAGTGACTGCAAAGAACGCAGGGAAGAAACATGGGAAACGAAATGTCCGAGAGTACCAGCCTGGAAGGGAACACCACCCGACCTCCCTTGCGGATGTCGTACGCATGTCCCCATCTCCTGCACCTGGAAAAGGAAAACCTTCGTCCAGAAATGGTCGAGATGGGTACAAGAGCCGTGAGAACAGTGCAGCTGCTCAGTCCATCCCAGCCCCACAGAACATTCCCTGGTTGGAGACTGGTTCGCGAGCCAACCAGCAGTATATCAAGTATCGTACTGAGGCTATTCGTCATGGCACAGTGAGAAACAAGTTTCTTCAGAGGTATGTTCTTCCCCATATTATTTTACCATATAGACATTAATGAAACCAGTGCGGCACAAGCCTGGAATCGAAACGACGCCAGGGCTGCAAAAGCTCTGTCTCTTAGGGGCCAGGCAGAAAACGAAGCCATGCGGAAATGTCACCGTGAGGCAGCACGGCAATTATACGAAGAACGCAACAAACATTTGCTCACGATGGGACTTGATGAAACTACCGAGGAACTCTACGTCGACCTGCATGGCCTTCACCCAGAGGAGGCTATCGAGTATCTAGAAAAGATTCTACTCAAACACGCTCGTGAGGGCTGTCGTGTCTTGTATGCCATTACAGGTACCGGTCACCATTCAAAGAATGGAAAGGACAAGATTGGTAAGGCAGTCAAGACATGGCTCAACGAGTGGCGGTACCTGTTCCGTGAGTTTAGCGTCCCTGGTGAACGAGGCGGGTACGTCGGTGGTATTCTGGGCATTGATCCTACTAGCTACGACAGGTCACTCGCCAAGAGTCTTGAAGAGGCGGCAAAGGACGACGACAATCGGAATCAGCCCACCATATCTATTGGCAAAATCCAGCTTCTTAGACGCGAAGATCTGGAGCCGCAGACCAACTAAGAGCCCCGCAACTATATTAGCATATTGCTATCGCTTATTTTACGACTATCTACGATTTTCCGACATAGCACTTTTTTGGCTGATCCCCTTAGTACTGCCAAGGGACATTGGTTTAGAGCGATTTGTTGATTGGTGTTGTTATTCTGAGAGCCTAGCCTCTCAATTTCATGGATATGAGGAAGGACTTTGAAGCAAGACTTGGGGGTCTCACACTGTTCTCCTCTCATTCGTCATTATTAGCTCAAATCTCTTTAGCGCCTATCTTACCTTTTTACTTCTTGCTGATGCTCTGCAGTCTTGATTGATATTGTAGAGTTGTATATAGCGAAGATGCATATATATATATATACGCACAAGTACATGTGAATAGCTTGCTATAAGGATACACTTTGGTGTTTGACGTAGCTATAGCAAAAACGGATGTGACAACAACTAGTATTTACTCCGGCTCCTGATGCTGCCATTTCTCCCGCAATTCGTGGACATTAAACCCACAAGCCTCGGCCTTCTTCACAATCGCCCTTGCCTTCTCAGCCACCGGAACATCAATCATCTTCCCATCTAGCGTCCAAGCACCCCGACCAGCAGCAGCAGCCTGCTCATCCGCAATCTTCACGCGCACCGCCCACTCAACCTCCTTATCCTCAGGCCCAAAGATCCGCTCCACGGTCTCCACCTGCGATGGATGGATGCATTGCTTTCCATTGAACCCCAAATGCTTCCCACCGCGACATTCCTCCTCCAGCGCCGCAGGCGGTCGTCCGTCACCAGTTGTAGACTTATACGCCGTGCAGACCAAGTCAATCGTGGAGGGGAGGTTCGCAGCACGTGCAGCAGTTGCGATCATAGAGCGCGCGAAGAGGAACTCGGTCAGGGCTGGTGTACGAGTCAAGCTAAGGTCAAGTGCGAAGTCTTCCGCGGCGAAGATCAGACCCTGGAGGAGCGGGGAGGCAGAGCAGATTTGGGTGAGGTTTGTGAGGGATTTGGCGGATTCGACGAGGGCGAGGAGGGAAACCGGGGGACGTTGTTGGACTTGTTGGTGTTGTTGTTGTTGTTGTTGTTGTTGCGAAAGAGTGTGGGAAATGACGTCCGTGACGAAGGTGAGGTCTGATGGGGAGTTGACTTTGGGGAGGACGATGGTGGAGAGGTTTGGGGATTGAAGCTGTTCATTGTTAGCTTCTCCACATAACTGTTTTTGAAAGTGATAATTTGATTATACTGACCACCTCAGTCAAATCTCCCAAAGCCAGCCCACTATCAACAGAATTGATACGAACTGCCCGCTCGCGAATCCCCTCCGGCGCTGGTTGATCGAGAGCTCTCCGCACCAGCCCGCGAGCCTCGATCTTCTTGTGCGGAGTGACGCTGTCTTCGAGATCATAGGCAATACAATCAGCTGACAATGTGCGCGACTTGTCAATAAAGCGCTGGGAGGATCCGGGGACTGTGTTGCGACTGTTAGTTTAGAGCTTGGGGAAATGCGGGGACAGCTTGACGTACTGTAGAGAAGGGAGCGGCGGAGGGCGTTTCTGGTTGCCATTGTGGTGGTATATGATTTGATCAAATTAGACAAGTTTATGGGCTCTTTAGGGTGTCAAATTGAGTCCTGGGATGTGCAGTATAGGAGTATGCGACCTGAGAAGAGAAAAGATGATGTTTATCCTCGGCTGCGGCATCCTGAACGAATGACAGCTTAAACGGCCGCGATATAGGCTCTCAACGGCGACGCGTATACCGCTTTTATTCGTAGGTTCATGCTTTTCTTGCATTCTCTCCAAGGAGTTCGGCAATACATATTGTACATCTTGCAATTCCAACATTGATTGATCTTGGTCTGACATCTTGAAACGGCTATATGACTATTCTGCTGTCCATCACCGCCCGTGCGGCGGCTACTCGGATCATATTGCAGATGTCTATTTCATCTCTCGACTTCGCTCTTCAATACCAGGGTTTTGTTCCTGAGGGAAAGGACGATAAGACCGACCTAATGAGCAGATGTTAGTAAATTAGCTAATACAAACAACCTTGCGGGATATGAAGAGTGTTCAAGGCAGAAATGTATTTGAGTACTCAATCCAAAATAGAATAGAAGTCCATCCGGATTATAGATTGAGCTAAAAAAGCAAACAATAACAGCAGAGAAGTACTGGCAGCCTTACCATGCTGACTGTTTCCTCCAGACAGAGAATTTTGCAGATGCCGGAGGCGCCAAAATGACACCAGGGAAAGTTTCTTGAGAGAAACGATGTTTGGGAGTTCATCTGCTGGGAATGCGCATTGCGCTTCGTTATGAAGACGCTGGCATAACTGATATTCTGCGTCTTGAGCTCAATGCATTAATGAAGAAGTTTGTAGCCGTAACTATAAGAGCTTCTGTTGCTGAAAATATCTGCAGCCAGAGGGGTTAGTGAAGGTCACCTAGTTGAGATTGAGCGAATCTCACGGATCCAACAAACTGGCGGACTACATATTCAAAGTCCAGTGCTTCCGGCCTCTTACTCTCAAAGCTACTTTGGTGGTCCAAGTGATGACATCTTGCGGTATCCTTTCTACACAAATTAATTTCTCCATCTTACGAAGGAGTTCAAAACGTTCATCGGATACAGGTTCAGACGGCGTACCAAGGCTCGCCGATGGTACTTGACAGGAATCCCAAGCACCATTCCAAATATTGGCCCGAACTGTTGTGGTAATAGCTGGCCCAGGAAGACAAACATGATCCCGAACCATCGTATGTATTGTCGCGTGTGACTGGCCAGCTGCTGGTCTCGACACAAGGAATCCCTTAGAATCACACGCCGATTAACTTTTGTAGTGATCTCTTACATGGTGCTATAAATGCTTAATGTCTTCCAGGAGCTCGCACAATCCCGAAGGCCTCGTCAACAGCGTTGTGTCGTTCTCTTGTGAATAGGTCGTAGATTCTCGGGAAATACATTGTCAATTCCTTTCCCAGATATATCTGAGCGCCGAAACCTCGCTCATGAGCACCAGGCACCCTGTACTTGAGAGTAAACCGTTCGATCATCATCTGGCGATAGTATAACTCCAAGTTTCGACTCCACCATTCCCCGATCCCTGAGCTACCCGCTCGCTTCACAATTGAGATACTGAGGAAGCATTTGAATAAGACCTGTTCTACGGTGGTGAAAGAGATCTAACAGGTACCTTATAGTTTGGCAATCTGGCCTGAGGACGGTTTAGGTCTTCACCTTCTTTCAGAGCGCAGGAAGGCCCTGGAATGCCTCATTGAGGGAGCCAAGGCTGAATTTGAACAGAAATGGGCCATCTTCGCTCTACCAAATGCGCCACAAGAGTATACCAGCTATGACGGGGCTCAAGTGCCTATAAGCAAACAAATGGCCTCGGAGGAATTCAATCTACGGACAGGTTTCTCCCCTCTGAAGTTCTACCGTTCAAGCAAGAACCTGCTATTCAGTACACTCGTTATGGCAGTCCCCAAGGACCAGGCCTGAGCAGTTTCTAAGTGGATTTATCTCTTTGGTTAGAACACACAAACAAAGCATAAATCCTTCCAGCCCCACCTAGAACAGTGCACACGGTGCTAGGACTATCATAACCCCTAGACTTGCACCCGTATACCAAGATGTCGCATTTGCAGCAAGAAAGATCATATTGAATGCCACGGAGCGCCGGCGCTCACCAGCGGCGTGAGATGTTCGACTACTTTAGTCTGTTTGAATGTAGGGCAAAGACTCCCTTCATACACACTAAATAGCGCAGCGCTGGCAGGCCTAGCTTTTTCCTTTCCTTCTCTATGTTATTATTTCGCTAGATAGCCTACCAATAGACTCATATTGTTTGAGACTGTCACACCTTTTGGACTGAGTATGCGCCACAGCAATACAAAAACCTTTCCATCAGGTTAGACAGCCTATGGAGACTTTGCACACTACCATGACCGTTTTGGGCATGAGGATGCCGGTACAGAGTGCTCAAGTGGGCACCCAAAGACCCCCCATCACTTCTATTACTGCCGAAAAGGTCGCAAGGCCTCCCCACACACAGAGGCAAAAACAGGTCGATGAGATCCTGCGATCTAAGTGAGGGATAAAGGACTTCCAAGAATAACTTCAGAATTATCACTTCTATCTCAAAATTTTCCCCCACACATTAATTAAACTCCCCCTCTTCTCAAACGCCGTCTTCCTCCTCCTCCCCCTCCCCATTTCCCGTCAACCATGTACTTCCGCTCCTGCGGCCCAATTTCCATGTGAGCTCCCGCGCGGGAGCGTTGTCAGTCAGTGTATACAATAAATTTAGTTTAGCTACTATATAGGCAATTCCGCTTCACCCCTCGTATGCCCTGCTTCGGGACCAGAATTTCTCCGTGGGAATACCTGCGGAAAGACCCCGACCCCCGACGTTAAATAGATACACACTACTTGTGGCGCCGCAAGTACTAGTTAACTGACGTCTTGAAACGGCTATAATTATTCTGCCGCCATTTACCGCCCGTCCGCGTGTAGAGACACGCAGGCCTCATTGCCGCCCCCCAAAGAAAGACCACGATCACTGGTTTACTGGAATTCAAGATTGAGAGCTGGCCTCCTCGGAGAGTGCGCGCGCAGAGTATTTAGCTCGTCCTATCATTTGATACAATTTCCGATTGCCCGCACCGCCATGGAACAAGTACAACCGCAACAAGGCGACCTTAACTGGCGCCTCAGCGCTCATCCAATTACTCTTATATGCTTTCTAGTGTTTCGCATCGGGGCGCTTCTGATGTATTTATTCGGTGTACTTTTTATCAAGGACTTGTACGTGCATATTTCTAGTCCATGGAGCATAGAAGATTCTCCGAGTGAAGGCAGCTAGTACTAACTGCGATACAGTATCCTCGTCTTCATCTTCACGCTTCTCCTCCTCTCCGCCGATTTCTACTACCTCAAAAACATTGCCGGTCGTCGCCTAGTCGGACTCCGTTGGTGGAACGAAGTGAACGTCACAACCGGTGATTCGCACATGGTCTTCGAATCGTCCGACCCCAACACCCGCACCATTGCTGCCACGGATAAGCGGTTCTTCTGGCTTAGTCTGTACGTAGCGCCTACGCTCTGGGTAGGATTGGCAATTCTAGCGATTATCAAGTTGAGCAGTGTTATTTGGCTCAGTCTAGTTGGTAAGTTGGTTACGGTCGGATCCGGCCTCTGGGTTCTAGACGCAGTGCTAACATATTATAGCGATTGCCCTGGTTTTGACGATTACAAACACCGTTGCTTTCTCCCGTTGCGATCGGTTCAGCCAGGCTTCGACATATGCTACTAGCGCTTTTGGAGGGTCGATTGTGAATAATTTGGCCGGGGGTCTGCTGGGCAGACTCTTCAAATAAGCTGTCTTTCTTTCATTTTTCTGATGCAGTATGGTGGATGATTGCCGTTCTTGACAGCTTGGGGGTATTGCGTTAGGGATGGGTACTAGTGCTGGGCTGGATGGATGAGCTGTATCTTACTATACTAGCAGGAAGTTTTGTTTGAATATGAATGCACTATATCCAACGAAGAGTCACCCAAGTACCAAGCCGATGCCTGACTCGTCTCCGTCTAAAAGGTTCTCCACAATCACCCACCGCCACGATGGCACTCACAACAATGTCTCGTCCAAAATCACCTAGCTCAAATCCTAGGGTGCCTCCCAAGCAATTCCCTACGCAACAGGCCCCTCGGAATGCGACATGAAGAAGCCTCAAGTTGGTATATCTTTCGTCTGATTTGAGGTTAATCCCTGCAACAAGCAATTCCTCGATCTATTCAAAATACTTTGTGAATCTATTGGTGTGTCGGATGGGATTAACATAAGCACTTTCGGAATGCGGTATAGTCTGTAGAGTCGGAGAGCATCACCGATAGCATCAAAAAGGTAATGAATGCGCAGTGGTACGATGCGAATATCTCGCTGTCGAGCTGTGATAAGAGCATGCCAGGTTTGGTGGTGATGGCTATGAAACGTGTGACCCAGTCCGGTATCATGGCTTATGGAGGGATTATCAGGCCTGAATACAAATTGAATTACCGCGTTCACTACCTCCATCTTTGGACGCCACCTGTTATTCCTGATTCTTTGCTGTTTGTTTACCAGTTCTCGAGGGGGATCTGCTTCCCAGGGCATGAGAGAAATTCCCATATCGTTTTCCGATTAATGCCTTCATTTCAACACGCATGCTTTCCCGTTGGTGGCACTAGAACAGAAAATTCCTGACTGTCTCTAGTCTTTACATGCAATCACATGTGTTACCATCAATTACACCAATCCGGTGCAGGTGTGCATTCAAAGGAATGTTACCTGTCTGTAGTTGTGCCAGTGTTGATGTATGACGTCTTGTGGGTTGACCATGGAGTTTTAGGACATGTTTCCCTGGCAGGGCAGCATCTATATCCTTGGTGTAGTTCTTTCATAAACTCTTCTTCTTAAACTCCTAGGTCTAGGTATATCGAATATCGAAGTGACTCGCGCTTCCATCTCCAAGTAGATAACCTCAAGTGAGCATCAGCCCAGTATGGTTGGAAGTATGGTCTGTATTCTCTGATTGCATGTGTTGCGTTAATTTTTGCTAGCCTTGCATCTAGTCTCTCATAGTGTGCGGGAATCCATTGGATATGGTGTTGATCCCTATTTCCCGTTGTCGTTGTATCGTGACAGCCTCGAACAATATAAATTTATTGGTAGACTTTCTATCGAAATACTAACATGGAGAAGGAAAGAAAGAAGCTGGGCCTGCCAGCGCTGCGCTATCTAGTGTGCGAAGGGGGTTCCTGTCCTATATTCAAACAGGCCAAAGTATACAAACATCTTGCGTTGTTGGTGAATGTCCGTACTCCGTGACAGTATTTCATTTATGGCTCTTATAATAAGGGCTTGCCCACGTTGATGACACAGAATATAAGGACTTGAATGCTGTTTGGCTGTTGGTATAAACAACAACTTCCAGCGTTCTTTTCAGGATCGGCAAGGGGTTCCATGATTTGCTCGGCTGCTTTGAGCGCCTCGAGCAATGATCCCAGTTGCGAGAAGTAGATGTTGACATGTCGATGATGGCCGGTGATCATAGAGGCTATTCTGGTGACTTGATCACCACTCAATGCCACTACTTCAATACCGAGGTGTCCATGGTGACCTAATCCACATGCATGAATTTTAACGTGAGGGCGTTGGACCATTTACTTAACTGTGGGGGCCAATAAAACTTATAGACGGAGAACGTCTCGGTAGGTGATGCCGAATAAAGCGAGAAAAATTCCATTTGAAACTAACGTCAAGAGGCCTGGCGTGGGAGGGAAAGCCCGCGGCTGTGTGAATACGCTCACCTGATGCCGAGACGAGAGTTGGTTAGCAAGACTCCTAAAACGGCCGCCTGCTAACCGTCACATAGTTAAATGGAATGTATATTATTTGTTTTTGGAGTATTTAATGAAAGGTTGGATTCTCTAATGTCTGGGTTCTCGTGTATTATATAGACTGCTATGCAAACCATAATGACCACGGAGCTTAACACGAAATGACCACTATTGAAACAAATTTCACGTGTTGCTCTTTGCGGAAAGCTGCCTTTTTTTTTTTTTTTTTTTTTTTTTTACATTAA